GGCTGCCCCATGGATGTCCCCAGTTGGGAATGGACATTTCCCAGCCGGAAAGGCCGTTTCCAGCCCGCTCCACGCCGCCCGGGCGCCCGTCTCACCATCTCGGCCGTGCCCGTCATCGCGTCCTCGGGGATGGAGTACATCTGGTGCTTCGTCTTCACCTTCCACTGCCCTTCCTCGCCCTCGCCCACCTTGACCAGCATCACGCGGAAGTTGGTGCCGCCCAGGTCCAGCGAGAGGAAGTCTCCGACCTCTGCAAGGACAGCGGGGCGGGCTTGGGAGGGCCCATTCCCGCCGGGAACGGGGGCGGCGGCGGCGCCGTACCTGAGCCCTCGGGCGTGGAGCGCACGTAGGTGGGCAGCATTTTCACAGACGCCTCCTCGTGCGTCTCCAGCTTGAGCCCGCGGTCCATCTCCTTCTGCATGCGGTGCATGACCTTCTTGAGGTCCTCCTCCTTGAGCCGAAACTCCGACAGGATCTGATCCACCTGCAGCACCGAGACACGCAGTCACCCGGGGCCTCGGAGCCGCGTGTGCTTCCCGGGACCCCACCGCCGGGAAGCCGCGGATTCCCGGGATCAGCTTATCCCGGTTTTCCCTCTCCGACGGTGTCAGCGGCCTCCATTAGCCTGGGCGCCGGGATGTCAGATGGAGCCGGCGCTTTCCGCTCCGCCGGCCACATGGAGCCGCCGGCATTAGAGGCCTCATTAGTCACCGGGATGCGGGGAGGCTCCGAGCGCCCCGGCCGCCGCGCGGCTCTTTGTCTCGAGGCGGCCGCTCGGACAATGGGACGGCTCCCGTGGTGCCGGGAAAACGGATCCAGCGGGAGCTCCGGCCTGGCTGCGGGAGCCGAGGGAGTGATCCCGGCGCCCCGGTGGGAAGGGATCCCAGGATGTTTCCATGCATTTTCGGCTCCGTGTGCGGCACGGGAGCAGGTCCCCATCCCGGGTGCGGATGCGCAGGCGGAGACGCGGGATTCCCTTTCCCTGCTTTCCGAGCTGTCCCTGCGTGTCCCCGGCGGCAGCACTGGAGCGGCCCCGTGTCCTGCCCAGGGGCTCATCCAGCTGAGCAGGGAGGGAGCCGGGAGCAATTCCCCGTGCAGCTCCCACAGATCCGGCCTTGGGGCCTCCGTGCCAGGGGGAAAGCCTGAGCAGTCTCATCCAGGTGGGAAAATCCCATGGGAACATGAAAATCCTTCTGTGCCGAAGCCTTCCCAGTGGCACGGTCGATCCCGGCGGCATCCGGGCGGGAGGGCGTCTTGGCCGCGGCGGCACCGGAGCGTTGGAGCCGTCGGAGCCACCGGCCCGGGCGCATCCGGGTGGCCGGCCGGCCTTCCTCCCGACCCTCGCCCCGGCTCTTCCTCTTCGCCCCTTCCTGGGGAATCGGGAGCCTTCGCGCCGCGGGCTGCTGCCCGATCCAGCGGGATCGGCCCGCGTGGGGAACCCGGAGCCGGCTCCAAAGTGGGAAATCAGGGATAGCCAAGGGGGAAGAGCGGCCCTGTCCCGGCGAGCTGGGATCGGGGAGCCGAACTGGGGAGACGCAGGGGGCGAGGAGGAGGAGGAGGAGGAAGGCTCTTACCTTCTCCTTCCTGGAGCTCTCCATCCTGGCCCGGTGATCCAGCATGGGGGCAGGCGCGGGGCGGCTCCCGGCTCGCTCGCCCGGGCTGACGCTGCTCCCCTTTCCTGCCCGGGTTATTATTAATAATAGCAATAATAATAATCGATCCGCGCTCCGCGGGCTGTTTGGGGGCCGGTCTAGCTGGCGGCCCCCGGGGAGAGGGGCCGCGCGCCCCGCATGGCCGGCGGCCCCGGGGGAGCGGCGGGAGCGGGGGGCGGGAGCGGGGGGCGCCCGGCAACGGCCCTAATGGCCCCCGCCGCCGGGGGGGCCGCCCGCCCTCAGCCCCGGCCTGGCAACGCCGCTCCCATGGCGACCGCGGCGATCCGTCCTCACCACCCGCACGGACAAGCCCGGAGCCCTGCTCATCATCCACGCGGGACAATCCTGATCCTCCCCCACCATCCACAGGGACAATCCCGGAGCCCTCCATCCACAGGGACAATCCCGGATCTCTCATGATCCGCACTGACAATCCTGGATCCTTCTTTATCATCCACCTGGACAATCCCGGTGCCCTCCTCATGATCCGCAGGGACAACCCTGGATCCCTCCTCACCACCTGCAGGGACAATCCCGGATCCCTCCTTATCATCCACACAGACAATTGCGGATCCCTCCTCACCATCCACACAGGACAATCCCGAATCCCTCCTCATGATCCGCATGGACAATCCCAGATCCTTCCTCATGATCCCCATGGACAATCGTGGATCCCTCCTCATGATCCGCAGGGACAATCCCGGATCCTTCCTTATCATCCACACAATCGCGGATCCCTCCTCACCATCCACACAGACAATCCCGGATCCCTCCTCACCATCCACACAGGACAATCGCGGATCCCTCCTCCTGATCCACATGGACAATCCCGGATCCCTTCTCATGATCCGCATGGACAACCGCGGATCCCTCCTCGCCCGCATGGCCGAGCCCACGGGCAGGACACAGGGACACCCTGGGTGTCCCCCACGCAGGGACAGCTCGGGAAGCGGGACGGGAACCCCGCGCCCCCCCCCCCGGGACGGGACCCCTGCCCCGGGGGGGTCTGTGGGGGGCAGGGGGGCCCACCGGGGCGTCCCCCCGCCCGGGGACACGGGGGAGCCACGCCACAGGGAGCATTCCCCCCCCCCCCCCCCCAGGGATCCTGGGATCAGGCGCCCCCTACTGGAGGGGGTGTGGCGGGAGCCCCGCCCCCATGACGTTAGCGCGGTGCTGATTGGTGGCTCGGCCGGGAGGCGGGGCGCGGAGAGGCGGTGGGCGTGGCCCTCGCGGGAGGCGGGCGCTCATTGGTCCGACGCGCCGAGCAAGGGGCGTGGCCTGGCGGGGCGTGACCGGCGCATGCGCGCAGCGCGCGCGCGGCCCCCGTGGCAGTAGCTCCGCGGCTCGCCCCGCTTCCGTTCGGTGCCTTTGTGCTTCCGGGTCGCACCCGGGTCCCCTCCCGTGCCCCGCGGGGGGCCGCCCGCCTCCCTCACAGCCACTTCCGGTGCCGCCGCGGCAGGACGCGGGTACGGAGGCCGCGCTGGGCCTGGGGACCGCGGCGGGGCCCGGGGCGG